CAAGGCGTCAGCATGAAACCCACAGCCAACGGCCATGAGAGACTGTCTTTGTTACTTCCACCTCATTGTTTTTCCTCTTTCATGACACTGTAACACGTTCAGAGTGCTACTGGCAGTAATGCGGCCGGCAGCAGGAAGTTCAAGAGGCAAATTGCTGTCATAGTCATTAAGATGCATGAAATTCCCCTCATTTCCCATGATGCATTCAAAGCATGTCCACTGCACCTGTTCACCAATCCAGTGGTTCCCAACCCTGGTCCTGGAGGCACCCCAACACTGCACATTTTGCATGTCTCCTTTCTCTGACGCACCAATTTCAGGTCTTGGAGTCTCTACTAATGAGCTGATGATCTGAATCAGGTGTGTTTGAGTAAGGAGACATGCAAAACATGCAGTGTTGGGGTGCCTCCAGGACCAGGGTTGGGAACCACTGCACTAATCAACCAGCTAACTTAGAAGGGACCTGGATTAGAGAAACGTTTTTAGCCCCTTTTCTCAAGAATCTCCCAAATGGAAGCAGCGATTTCCACTCTCAGATCTACAGTGCTAATTAAATATTAACATTAAAATGAAATCGGAGGCCACGCCTCCTTTCCCTTTCAAAAGCAAATCCCTCATCAGCTTTGTGTGAGGGGATTTATTGTATATAAATGTTCTTTACTTTACTCAAAGCATTTTGAGTGTTCAGTTTCACAACCTGACACAAAGTGTGAATTAAAACAGAAAGTGTTGTGTTCCTGTTTTTTTTTGTGTGAGTTGTTATGATGCGTATTGTGAATGTATTTTGCTTGGTGTTGTCTTGAGCAAACACAGAATCCGAATAGCTGACTCAGAACTGATAGAAAAAAAAAGTTAGAATTCTTCAATGACGTACAGTTTACGTGCATGATGCAAGGAAAAATGTAGCTAATGGAGAGTTTGTATTTTTGGCATTGCAGGGAATACAGCCACTTATCTTGTAATAATTTCATGCTAATTAATCAGCCTGTCAATCAGTTTTCATACTTTCCTTTCCAATTTTAATTTCGTAAAAAAAATAAAAAATAAAAAAAGTAAAAATTTGTAAAGAAAGAGTTTACATGAACCAAAACACACCATTACGGTTTTAAGCCACAATAGGAACATATATCTGCATACTGCACATATTTCCTTATTGGACTCGTACTGCAAAAGGTAAACAGAGAAGACATACTTTAAAAGCAGCATTTGTATTCATATTGTCAACGAAACTTCAAAACTTTTAGAAATCATTAATACATAATTTATTATTATGGTTGATTATTATTTAGCTATACACTATGCATCATGCATTAACATAGATATGATTACGTTATATGAATAAATATTCCAATAAATATAATTATAATTATTATTATTATAAAACATAAGCTCTAACATACATATGCAAGCACAAAAACGGATTTAATTAGTGTAATTTTATAATATGATTTATATTTTATAAATGAGTTATAGTTTGTTACATTATAGTAACAATATTGATATATTTGTTGCACTTTATGTAAATTATGTACATTTAAAGTATACTGATAACTGTATAATGCCTAAGATTGATATTATTATATTATATATTATATTATATTATGATACTCCAATTTTAACACATTTATAATTAAATACAAGTGTATTCATGTACAGGGATATTTGAATATAAGTATAGGATATATTTATGTAAATATACTTAATATTATGTAACTAGTATATTAAAAATTAATCAGATTATTATTATTATTATTATAAACACATGCAAACACCCACCAAAAAATAATGATAATAACAGCAGAAACTAAACATCATAGCAACATGTATAAATAATATATTAGAGCATTCACTCATTCAGGCCTATTAATTCAGTGTCTATGCGTGCTGAATGAAAATACATGGCAGATAGATTCGACCGCTTTCAGACCGTCAGAAAAACAGCATGTGATATAAGCACACATTGAGTTCTGCTGCAGATACACACGACAGCAGGTGGATGTGATGCTCTGAGTGTGCGCCATCACATTATCCACACCCACACACAC